ACCAAGGTCGTGTAATATCCATAAGATACTGATTTTGGTGTGCGTTAAGGAACTAGAACCAATGTCGTGTAATATCCATAAGATACCGATTTTGGTGTGCGTTAAGGAACTAGAACCAATGTCGTGTAATATCCATAAGATACCGCTTTTGGTGTGCGTTAAGGAACTAGAACCAATTTCGTGTAATATCCATAAGATACCGATTTTGGTGTGCGTTAAGACATATAAATAATTTTCGTTTAAGTTGAATTTTTATTTCAGTTAAATACCATACATAAGTTAAACGCTCGCTATTCCTTCTGGCGCCCCCTTCTGGTTATTTCTCCACTAACATTGGTAAAACTCACGATCCTTCATGTGGGAATATTTGTAAAACCAATTATTTCTGGGAATTTTCATTCCTGTTTCGAAACATATTATAGTTTTTTTATGTAAATATTTCGAGGAACAAAAATCAAATGTGCATATAAAAGAAACGTATTGTGAGAATACACTTTATGGTTATGCTCTGAAATAGCCACTGGAAAAATATAATAAGGAGAGTCGTTATGGTTAGTTAGTATGAACATTTTGGGCACATAAAAAATGTCAAAAGTAACCTGGAAAGTGCTAGCACTGTAAAAGATGCAACTTGGTCAGTATTATATAGGCATTGCAAAATACATAATAAAATGTCCTGTGAATAGTTTTAAGAGTAGAAAGTCAACAATCGCATGAAACTATTTTTGATATATAGGCTACACTATATTACATGCATATTGTTGAAACGGCTTTTGGTGTGAACATATTGTTGAAACGACTCCTAGTCTGAACGTATTGTTGAAATCACAGCTAGTGTGAACATATTGTTGGAATGACAGCTAGTGTGAACATATTGTTGGAAATACCCCTAGTGTGAACATATTGTTGGAACGGCTCCTAGTATGTACGTATTGTTGAAATCACAGCTAGTGTGAACATATTGTTGAAACGACTCCTAGTCTGAACGTATTGTTGAAATCACAGCTAGTGTGAACATATTGTTGGAATGACACTTAGTGTGAAAATATTGTTGGAACTACCCTAGTTTGAACGTATTTTTGGAATAATTCCTAGTGTGAACATATTGTTGAAAACGATTCCTAGTGTGATCATATTGTTGGAATGAAACTTAGTGTGAACATATTGTTAGAACTACTCATGGTGTGAACATATTATTGGAATCACTCCTAGTGTAAATATATTGTTAAGATCACTCCAATATGAACATATTGTTGAAATCAATCTTAGTGTGAACACGTTGTTGGAATAACTCCTTATGTGAACATATTTTTGGAATGAGCCCCAATGTGAATATTTATTCTAATTACTTTTAGTTTGAACATATTGTTGGAATGACGTCTGGTGTGAACTTTATGAAACACTAAAAGTAATTAATGTAATTTCCTCAAACGGGTCAACATCGAAGTAGATAAACATTCACTTTTTTAAGATCTATACTGTATATATATATATAAGGTCTATACTGTATATATATATATATATATATGCACACAGTCTGGCTGTTCAGGATCTTCATAAAGCAATGACCAGAGGCAAGTGTGACAAACGTTTGCTTATTTTAGAGCAAAGCCACATTAGGCTATTTGCTGTGTCCACTGCGGGGAATGAAGCCCGGATTTCAGCAATATAAATCCGTTGATTAACTACTGTCCAATGAGGGGGCGTGATAAACGGGTTGTATCACCTGTGTGCACTCCGTATTAATTATATTGATTTAAAAATGTAACAGTTCTAGTCTCCGATTCTTCTCTGAATCACTTGTATCTTTTATTCGTAGTAATGAACAATATACGTATCACAAAGCACCAAAACCGTTACCGAACTAAGTCTGTTACAGAAGGGTTAGTTTATTTAAGGCGTTCTTGTAGCGAACCAACCAACTTCAATTCATACAGCAGAGTGACTAGATTTGTTAAATCCATGTGTATTATTTCGAAGAAGCAAATTTCAGATACTGATTTTCCCATTACTTAAACATAAATATAAGTTTAATTTCTTTGATATGTTTAAAACGTCTTCCGTTTTCTAAACTACTTAGAAGGAAAAATCCAAATCACATGATGTTCAAATTGCAGTGAATGAATTAAGCCATACATACGTGTTACCCAACAAAAAAATTATAATAATACGAAAAGTCATGCACAATGTTTGAGTCGCTCATGGGAGCGCTTAAATCATTTAAGATAATTGAGAAATATCAATTATTTCTATGCATTTGTAAACACTATTATCACATATTATACGCGACGTTTTTTCCCGACAGTGTTATTTAGCAGCACATCCAAGAACTTAACACCCTATGAACGATGCTACTTTGGTTGGACCTACTATAAGAATAGTTAATTATTACACATTCGCGTTAACCCTCGGACTACCCTCAAATTCAAAGTGAATCAGTTTCTTTCACAATGTTTTACTAGTTAAAACCCGCGGACTACCCTCAAATTCAAAGTGAATCAGTTTCTTTCACAATGTTTTACTAGTTACATCCCTCGGACTACCCTTAAATTCAAAATGAATCAGTTTCTTTCACAATGTTTTACTAGTTGCAACCCCGGACTACCCTCAAATTCAAAGTGAATCAGTTTCTTTCACAATGTTTTACTAGTTGCAACCCGCGGACTACCCTCAAATTCAAAGTGAATCAGTTTCTTTCACAATGTTTTACAAGTTACAACCCGCGGACTACCCTCAAATTCAAAGTGAATCAGTTTCTTTCACAATGTTTTACAAGTTACAACCCGC